GCTCCCCTGGGTTCACGCCATTCTCCTGCCTCAGCCTCCCGAGTAGCTGGGACTACAGGCGCCCGCCACCTCGCCCGGCTAATTTTCTTGTATTTTTAGTAGAGACGGGGTTTCACCGTGTTAGCCAGGATGGTCTCGATCTCCTGACCTCATGATCCGCCCGTCTCGGCCTCCCAAAGTGCTGGGATTACAGGCTTGAGCCACCGCGCCCGGCCACCCGGCCCTCTTTCTTCTTCTTTTTTTTTTTTTTTGAGATGGGGTTTTGCTCTTGTTGCCCAGGTTGGAGTGCAACGGCGCCATCTTGGCTCACTGCAACCTCTGCCTCTGGGGTTCAAGTGATTCTATTGCCTCAGCCTCCCGAGTAGCTGGGATTATAGGCATGCACTACCATGCCCGACTAATTCTGTATTTTTAGTACAGACGGAGTTTCTCAATGTTGGTCAGGCTGGTCTTGAACTCCTGACCTCGGGTGATCAGCCTGCCTGGGTCTCCCAAAGTGTTGGGATTACAGGTGTGACCCACCGCACCCAGCCCGATCCTCAGATTTTCAAGTGGGGAAAAGGAAGTTTCAGCAGGAGCAAGAATCTGCCCAAGGTCACACAGCCTGTCAAAAACTGAGCATGGCTTCCACTTCTCTGGCACCTATCCCAGGTGATTTTGCCCTAAGGGCAAACCCAGACTGCTTCAAAGCAGGCCAAGCCTAGCTTTAGCTCACTAATTTCCACCAGCTCTTTCCTTTACTTCTTGCATTCATCCCTTCAACATCGAACCACTTGAACTTCCCACCTGCCAGGCAGGTGAGCCTGGGGGCCAAGAATGGAGACCTTAAGGTCAACTCCTGGGTTGGAATCCTGACTCTTCCTAACTATGGGAACCACGACTAGTTACTTCTCTGGGCCTCGATGTTTTGTAAAGTCAGTATGACAGTTTCTCCCTTACATGATTGTTGAGAGGATTAAACTGAATAATGCATGTAAACATTGAGCATAATACCTAGCACGTCATAATACACTCAAGAGATGTTAGTTATTATCATTAGGCTCCTAGAGATACTAATAAAAATCACAACTGGCCAGACACAGTGGCTCACACATGTAATCCCACTATTTTGGGAGGCCAAGGCAGGAGGATGGTTTGAGCCCAGGAGTTCTGAGACAGCCTGGGCAACATGGTAAGACTCTATTTCTACAAAAACAAAAAACAAAAAAACAAAAAACGGGCACGGTGGCTCATGCCTGTAATCCCAGCACTTTCGGAGGTCAAGGTTGACAGATCCACTTGAGGCCAGGAGTTCAAGACCAGCCTGGCCAACATGGCAAAAACCCGTCCCTACCAAAAAATATGAAAAATTAGCCGGGCATGGCAGCACATGCCTGTAATCCCAGCTACTCAGGAGGCTGAAAATTGCTTGAGCCTGGGAGGCAGAGGTTGCAGTCAGCTGAGATCACACCACTGCACTCCAGCCTGGGTGACAGAGCTACACTGTCTCAAAAAAAAAAAAAAAAAAAATTAGGAGCTGGGCACAGTGGCTCACATCTGTAATCCCAACACTTTGGGAGGCCGAGTTGGGGGTGGATCATCTTAGGTCAGGAGTTTGAGACCAGCCTGGCCAACATGGCAAAATCCCGTCTTTACTAAAAATACAAAAATTAGCCGGGAGTGGTGGTGTGTGCCTGTAGTCCCACCTACTCGGGAGGCTTAGGCAGGAGAATCACTTGAACCCAGGAGGCGAAGGTTGCAGTAAGCTGAGATCATGCCACTGTACTCCAGCCTGGGCGATGAGCGACAGGATCCCTCTCCAGAAAACAACAAAGCAAAACAAAAACTTAAATTAAAAAAATAGGCCAGGTGCAGTGGCTCACGCCTACAATTCCAGCACTTTGGGAGGCCAAGGCAGGTGGATCATGAGGTCAGGAGATTGAGACCACCCTGGCCAACATGGTGAAACCCCGTCTCTACTAAAAATAAAAAAATTAGCCAGGCATGGTGGCAAGTACCTGTAGTCACAGCTACTCAGGAGGCTGAGGCAGGAGAATCGCTTGAACCCGGGAGGTGGAGGTTGCAGTGAGCCGAGATTGCGCCATTGTACTCCAGCCTGGGTGACAGAGCAAGACTCTGCCGTCTCAAAAATAAATAAAATAAAATAAAATAAAGAGTAACTCCTAGATGTCTTTTACTCTGTGCCTCACAACCACCATGAGATGGGTTGTGATTAGCCCCATTTCACAGATTAGAAACTTAGGCTCAGGATAGTTGACTTGCCCTAGAACCAGGATTCCAATCCGGCAATCTGTTTTAACTACACAGGCCTGCTGTTAGATAATTTAATCCATGAGGTTAAGACATCTAATGACTAAATGACCATAGCAAAGCTGATGAATTGGTCCCGGGTCTCACCGTGAGACGCATCCCATAGTGGCTTTTGGCATCAGGTAGGTAAATAAATAAGAGTTCTGAGAGTGAGTTTCCTCATCCGAGAAACTGAAACTCCTCTGTGCTTGGGTTCAGGGAGTAGGTCTGGAAACGTTTCTTTTTTTTAAGATGGAGCCTTGCTCTGTCGCCCAGGCTGGAGTGCAGTGGCACGATCTCGGCTCACTGCAACCTCGGCCTCCTGGGTGCAATCAAATCTTGTGCCTCAGTCTCCCGAGTTGCTGGGGTTACAGGCACAAGGCAGCACACCCAGCTAATTTTTTGTATTTTTAGCAAAGATGGTAGTTTCACTAGGTTGGCCAGGTGGGTCTCTTTTTTTTTTTTTTTTTTTTTTTGAGACGGAGTCTTGCTGTGTCGCCCAGGCTGGAGTGCAGTGGCCGGATCTCAGCTCACTGCAAGCTCCGCCTCCCGGGTTTTTACGCCATTCTCCTGCCTCAGCCTCCCGAGTAGCTGGGACTACAGGCGCCCACCACCTCGCCCGGCTAGTTTTTTGTATTTTTTAGTAGAGACGGGGTTTCACCGTGTTAGCCAGGATGGTCTCGAACTCCTGACGTCGTGATCCGCCCGTCTCGGCCTCCCAAAGTGCTGGGATTACAGGCTTGAGCCACCGCGCCCGGCCGGCCAGGTGGGTCTCGAACGCCTGACTTCAAGTGATGAACCCTCCTCAGCCTCCCAAAATTGTTGGGATTACAGGCGTGAGCCACGGCGCCCTGCCTGGAAACGTTTCTAACAGTACTGGGGCAACTCCCTCCCAAGGCCCTGAGGGGCGCAGGAACGAGGTGAGTAGGAATGGCCAGAGCCCCTTGGACACATGGGGCCCCGCTCTCGAGGTGTAAGGGTCAGAGTCACCCCGGAAGGAGGTGGAGTGGAGTCCGCCCGCTAATGGCTCACTTCCTTCAGGCTCTCACCCCGATTGTCCTTCAGGTCCTCTACCCGCCACATTCCCTGTTTCTTCCAGTGAAATTGTCTGTCCTTGCTTCTTCTTTTTCTCGATATCCTCGCTTTCCTTGCTTCCCCTCTGACATTTCTCCTCTCTCCACTTCCCAAAAGTCCCCTCGGTCTTTACCCTGTTTCTTCCTGTCGCCTTCATTTCCCTCCTTTTAATAAAGTGAGTCTGGAGCCTTGGTTTCTTTTCTCAGTGACTGGCACTGAATGCAGTTTGCCCTCGCCCCATCACGCTAAGTGGTTTCACTTTCTCCCTCTGACCCTCGGGGAAACCACAAACGTTCCTGTGCCTCCATTCCCCGGTTCCACCCCTCGGGGTGCCGCGTGCCTCAATTTCCCAGGATCTTTCCCTCCCTCTCCCTGACCCCAACGCTGACTCCCTCATGGCGTCCCCAAGATGGCGCCCGCGGCGGCGCTCCGCCGCCTGACGTCATCGCACCGCCCTCCGCTCAGAGTTGCCCACTGGAGCCGTCGGAGGCGGAGTCAAGGAGGAGGAGGAGCATCCTCTAGGGAGGATTAAAGGGGCGGGCACTATGCACCCGAGGGCTGACCGGTGAGGGAACGTCGCTAAAGGATTGGTTGGGCGCTGAGGGAAATCTCGATGCTCCTCACTATTGGCCCAAGCCTCAGAGACATGAACTTCGATTGGCTGAACGGCAGGGCCCGAGCGGGCGATGATTGGTTGCGTCCGGCCGTCCGTGCGGCGGCCGAGGAGGAAGGTGGGAGGGGCGTTGCTGAGGGTAGCTGGGGGCGAGAGTGAGGCTACGGAGCAGGCGAGAGGCGACGCGAGAGCTAGAGCGGGCGCAGCGTTAGGGTGGCCGTGCAAGGGGAGCCGTGGCCCGGGCCCGGGCCCGGGGCGTGCGAGACGGCTGAAGCAGGTGAGCGCGAGCGGGCGCGCAAAGGCTAGCCGGGCTGCCCTCCCTGCCGCCGCGGCCTCCTCTCGCCAGGCCGCCTGCGCACTGAGGGCCTGAGGGGGTGCGCGCCGGGCAGTTAGGGCGGAGCGGCACCAACGGCCGACCGGGCGCGCGGGCAGCAAGGCGGGGGCCGGGCCCGAGCGGCAGGTGGGGAAGGGGCCTGGAGTCGCGTGCGGGGCTGAGTGAGGAGGGGCGGGGCTTGGGCTGGGGCTTTGGCGGGGCACCTGGGCGGGAAGGGGAGGCCTCAGAGCTGTCCCAGAAGGGCTCCGCCGCTCCCCAGGGTTTGGGGTAAAGGACTTGGTGGTGTGGCAAGTCCAGGACGAAGGGGCTGGGCCGGTTAGAGGCACTTGGGTGCCCAGTGAGGGGCTTAGGGCGTGAGAAAGATAATTAAGTTAGTGGAGGGGGAAAATATCTAGTTCTTCCTGGAAAGAACTGGGGCAGTGAGAGGGGTTTTGGTGTGAAAAAATATTAGGAAATCGATATCCCCAAGGGAGCGGTTTAGAACTAAGGAGGAGTCCAGTTGTAACGGATGGGGTTAAAATAATGTGAAGAGGCCTTAAACCATGTATCAGGAGGTTGGGTACCCTTGGAATACGTGGAGAGAGGTCTCTGTACAAAGAAGGGTTATGTGTATTTTAAAAGGATGTTTGGGTGTTCCTAGAATGAGCCGGGAAAGGTAGTCTTTTTTAAGTACAGGTAATTAGGCCAAGGTGAAGATGGGATTTGGTTATTGGAAGGGGAGGAAGTAGGGTGGGAGAGATCTGTGTGCTAAAGTGACGAGTGCCTCGGAATTCCTGGAATGAGACTGAGAGGTTGCTAAGACGTTGGGGGTCTGAGTACCCCCAAAGTAGTAGGCTAGTGAGAGGGGCTTGAGTGTGAGGAAAAGGGGTCTGTCTGCTGGAGTAGGGTGGTGATGGGGGTTCTGTATGAGAATAGGAGGTCCGGGTATCCCTAAAGGGGATTTGGGCAGCAGGAGGGGTGTGTGTAGAAGGACCTTAAGCCGTTGTGAAAGACGGTCTGGATATCCCTGGAATGGGTTGAGTGTGTGTGGATCTTTACACAAAGGAGTTATGTTGCTACGAAGAGGAGGGTCTGAGCATCCCTAGAATGGGTTAGGGTGGGTTGGGTCTTCTCGCAAATTAAAAAAGATTGGGTTAATAATGTGAAGGAGGATCTGGATATTCCTGAGATGGATTTGCCGGGGCAGGGGGAGGTCTGTTTGCAAGAGAGGCATAGGTTGATATGAAGTGAGGGTATGGGCGTCCCTGAATGAGTGGCTGTGTATGAATAGGAAGGGTTTTAATCAATGGGAAGAGGGGACCTGGGTATCCCAAAGGGGATTAGAATTGTCTATTTGGTCTTGGTACAAAGAAGAGGTGATGAATGTAAAGAGTGGAAAGATACCCTGGAGACAGGAGTTAGGGTGGTGGAAGGGTCTACGTCTGAAACAGGGAGGAGTAGGCCTTTGTGAAAATGGGTCTGGGTATTCTGGATAGGGGATTAGGGTTGGAGAGAGCCTTGATTTATAGAAGAGTTTAAGTAATTAAACAGGGCTGGGTATCATGAAGTGGTTAAGGTGGGCAAAGTCTGGGTGTGGAGATGGGTTAGGCCAATGTGAGAAAATCTGATTGTGGGGAAGGGATATAGTTTGACGTGAGGAATCCAGGCACCCGAGGAAGAGTTGGTGGGTAGCAGGGGAGTTGCGTGTGAAGGGGAGGGGTGGCACCGTGTACAGTGCTGAAAGTGGAGTGGTGGGGCGTTGGGCAGTTTGGTCTGGGTGTAAAAAGAAGTCTGAGAACCTGGGAGAAGGAGCTGAGGTCATGGGAGGGGTGTGGCTGGGAGAAACAGGTGGGGAAGGCCTATATGGGGTTTCAGTTGGGTACCTTGGAGAGGAATGGGGTGATGTGAGTTGCTAAGAAAAGGAGTCAGTGGAAGGAGGTCTGAGTGGAGGTTCCCATGTGCTGGGTGTAACTGTGGGGCCCACTGTGAGGTGTGGGAGATGAGGGGACTGAACAGGTTACAAGGATCTGGTGGGTGGAATTTGATGCAAGTTGATGTAGAGGTGAGACTGGGTAAATTCCTGGGGAAGGGACTGCCTGGGAGATTTTGTGTTTGGTGTTTGTTATGTTGAGGGGAGGAAGGATTATTAGGAGGGAAGCAGAATTTTAAAAATCGAAGGAAGAACTTGGAGGGGGCATAGATCTAAGGTATTGGGAGTGGAGAGTGATAAAGGGAAGAGCTGAGGAATCGGTGACCTAACTGGTTTGTCCCCACTGTCCCCTCTTCCAGCCCAGGGCCTTGCTGCCGCCATGACTGAGGAATCAGAGGAGACAGTCCTGTACATTGAGCACCGCTATGTCTGCTCTGAGTGCAACCAGCTCTATGGATCCCTGGAAGAGGTGCTCATGCACCAAAACTCCCATGTGCCCCAGCAGCACTTTGAGCTGGTGGGCGTGGCTGACCCCGGAGTCACTGTTGCCACAGACACAGCTTCAGGCACGGGCCTCTATCAGACCCTTGTGCAGGAGAGCCAGTACCAGTGCCTGGAGTGCGGTCAACTGCTGATGTCGCCCAGCCAGCTCCTGGAGCACCAGGAGCTGCACCTGAAGATGATGACACCCCAGGAGGCAGTGCCAGCTGAGCCACCACCCAAGGCACCACCCCTGAGCTCCAGCACCATCCACTACGAATGTGTGGATTGCAAGGCTCTCTTTGCCAGCCAGGAGCTCTGGCTGAACCACCGGCAGACACATCTCCGGGCTACACCCACCAAGGCTCCTGCCCCTGTTGTCCTGGGGTCCCCAGTTGTTCTAGGGCCTCCTGTGGGCCAGGCCCGAGTGGCTGTGGAGCACTCATATCGAAAGGCAGAAGAAGGTGGGGAAGGGGCGACTGTCCCATCTGCCGCTGCCACCACCACTGAGGTGGTGACCGAGGTGGAGCTGCTCCTCTACAAGTGCTCTGAGTGCTCCCAGCTCTTCCAGCTGCCAGCGGATTTCCTGGAGCACCAGGCCACTCACTTCCCTGCTCCTGTCCCCGAGTCTCAGGAGCCTGCCCTACAGCAGGAGGTGCAGGCTTCGTCACCTGCAGAGGTGCCTGTGTCTCAGCCTGACCCCGTGCCAGCTTCTGACCATAGTTATGAGCTGCGCAATGGTGAAGCCATTGGGCGGGATCGCCGGGGGCGCAGGGCCCGGAGGAACAACAGTGGAGAAGCAGGCGGGGCAGCCACACAGGAGCTCTTCTGCTCAGCCTGTGACCAGCTGTTTCTCTCACCCCACCAGCTACAGCAGCACCTGCGGAGTCACCGGGAGGGCGTCTTTAAGTGCCCCCTGTGCAGTCGTGTCTTCCCCAGCCCTTCCAGTCTGGACCAGCACCTTGGAGACCACAGCAGCGAGTCACACTTCCTGTGTGTAGACTGTGGCCTGGCCTTTGGCACAGAGGCCCTCCTCCTGGCCCACCGGCGAGCCCACACCCCAAATCCTCTGCATTCATGTCCGTGTGGAAAGACCTTTGTCAACCTTACCAAGTTCCTTTATCACCGGCGTACTCATGGGGTAGGGGGTGTCCCTCTGCCCACAACACCAGTCCCACCAGAGGAACCTGTCATTGGTTTCCCTGAGCCAGCCCCCGCAGAGACTGGAGAGCCAGAGGCCCCTGAGCCCCCTGTGTCTGAGGAGACTTCAGCAGGGCCCGCTGCCCCAGGCACCTACCGCTGCCTCCTGTGCAGCCGTGAATTTGGAAAGGCCTTGCAGCTGACCCGGCACCAACGTTTTGTGCACCGGCTGGAGCGGCGCCATAAATGCAGCATTTGTGGCAAGATGTTCAAGAAGAAGTCTCATGTGCGTAATCACCTGCGCACGCACACAGGGGAGCGGCCCTTCCCCTGCCCTGACTGTTCCAAGCCCTTCAACTCGCCTGCCAACCTGGCCCGCCACCGGCTCACACACACAGGAGAGCGGCCCTATCGGTGTGGGGACTGTGGCAAGGCTTTCACACAGAGCTCCACACTGAGGCAGCACCGCTTGGTGCATGCCCAGCACTTCCCCTACCGCTGCCAGGAATGTGGGGTGCGTTTTCACCGCCCTTACCGCCTGCTCATGCACCGCTACCATCACACAGGTGAATACCCCTACAAGTGTCGTGAATGCCCCCGCTCTTTCTTGTTGCGCCGGCTGCTGGAGGTGCACCAGCTCGTGGTCCATGCCGGACGCCAGCCCCACCGCTGCCCATCCTGTGGGGCTGCCTTCCCCTCCTCACTGCGGCTCCGGGAGCACCGCTGTGCAGCCGCTGCTGCCCAGGCCCCACGGCGCTTTGAGTGTGGCACCTGTGGCAAGAAAGTGGGCTCAGCTGCTCGGCTGCAGGCACATGAGGCGGCCCATGCGGCTGCTGGGCCTGGAGAGGTCCTGGCTAAGGAGCCTCCTGCCCCTCGAGCCCCACGGGCCACTCGTGCACCAGTTGCCTCTCCAGCAGGCCTTGGAGGCACTGCTACAGCATCCCCTGCAGCCCCTGCCCGCCGCCGGGGTCTAGAGTGCAGCGAGTGCAAGAAGCTGTTCAGCACAGAGACATCACTGCAGGTGCACCGGCGTATCCACACAGGTGAGCGGCCGTACCCATGTCCAGACTGTGGCAAGGCGTTCCGTCAGAGTACCCACCTGAAAGACCACCGGCGCCTGCACACAGGTGAGCGGCCCTTTGCCTGTGAAGTGTGTGGCAAGGCCTTTGCCATCTCCATGCGCCTGGCAGAGCATCGCCGCATCCACACAGGCGAACGACCCTACTCCTGCCCTGACTGTGGCAAGAGCTACCGCTCCTTCTCCAACCTCTGGAAGCACCGCAAGACCCATCAGCAGCAGCATCAGGCAGCTGTGCGGCAGCAGCTGGCAGAGGCGGAGGCTGCCGTTGGCCTGGCCGTGATGGAGACTGCTGTGGAGGCGCTGCCCCTTGTGGAAGCCATTGAGATCTACCCTCTGGCCGAGGCCGAGGGGGTCCAGATCAGTGGCTGACTCTGCCTGACTTCCTCTTCAGCACTTCCATGCCCTGTTGCTGAAGGCCCTCCAGCATCCCCTTAAGCATCTGTACATACTGTGTCCCTTCCTCTTCCCATCCCTACCACCTTGTAAGTTCTAAATTGGATTTATTCTCTCCTGAGGTGGGTGCTTTGGGGTCCTTGACACACAAAAAGGTGCCCCCCCACCTTCCACCTCTTAGCACTGGTGACCCCAAAAATGAAACCATCAATAAAGACCAAGTTGCCAGCAGTGTATAGAGTGGAATTTGGGAGTCACGGGTCTTACCTCTCATGGCTGCGTCACCAGCACCCAGAAGTGGGCCTGGCAGGTAGCAGGGATAGTACAAGCCCAGTAAACATTTGCTGGGCTGAAGAGAATGACCTGCTGTTCATGGGCATGGCTCTCAAGCAGGGCCTTCACTTTACTGCTAGATGGAGGTAGCATGACTCTTGCCACTAGAGGTCCCTGGCTCTGTGGAAAAGCTCAAGGGTGCTTGTGCTGGCGGCAGGAACTTTCAGAGAAATCAGATTCTGACACCCCTATCCCTGACTCCTGGCCTGATGTGGGCCTTGTCTCCCAAGGCCATCTGATTTTCTCATTGATCCCCAAGAGCAAATGCAGGTAGGCATGATCTCTGGGGCTGTGGAATTAAAGGAGATTCTGAATAATATGTGTCTGGACATAGGGTTGGTGACTTGAATCCCCCTGGAGTTGGACTTTGGCTCAGCCAACAGATTTTTATTGTGAGAGATGGATTGTTGGAATGGCTGGCCAATGTTTGAACATCTAGTTAGTCTCAAGTACTATATAACAGTAATATTCACACTGATTAGGTGAGAACATTTTGCAGAGAAGGAATCTCCAGTCAAAAGCATTGAGATGACTTGTCCAAGGTCAGATTCAATCCAGGCAGGGCAGAGCTTGAATTCAAGCCTGATTTCATTTCATTTGGTTTAATCACCCATATGCTTTTCTCTCCATTCTGCTGCCTTCTGCATACGTCGGGGAGGGTGGTGGAGACAAGATAGGAGTATGTGACTGGGGGGATGCTAGGCTGCTGTGCTAGCCTTGCTTCTGAGACCCCCTCTCCCCAGAGATTATTCCAAATCCTTCTGTTGAACTCTTTTTCCTTTTATTTATTTATTTGTTTTTTCGAGATGGAGTCTGCTCTGCTGCCCAGGCTGGAGTGCAATGGTGTGGTCTTGGCTCACTGCAACCTCCACCTCCCAGGTTCAAGTGTTTCTCCTGCCGCAGCCTCCCAAGGGCTCGGGTTACAGGCACATGCCACCACACCTGGCTAATTTTTGTATTTTTAGTAGAGGCGGGGTTTCACCATGTTGGTCAGACTGGTTTCCAACTCCCCACCTCAGGTGATCCACCCGCCTCAGCCTCCCAAAGTGCTGGGATTCTAGGCATGAGCCACCGTGTCTGGCCTAAAACAAAACAAATTCTAATAATCTTATAAAATAAATGACATAACATTTGAAAAGTTAATGTATTAGGGTTCTGTTTATACAAAAAAATACATAGTAGGTTATGTGTATGTGTATCCTACCTGTTACATGTATATAAATTATACAATAGATATAGTAAATATTGATATATATATATAAAGAGATTGTTTCACTCTTTATAGACATATATAAACATACATTTTAATGTTTATATACATAGAGTTCCAAATCCTAGGATTTTTTTTAAATTAAGTTCTGGGATACATGTGCAGAACGTGCAGGTTTGTTACATAGGTATACACATGCCATGGTAGTTTGCTGCACCCATCAACCCGTCATCTACATTAGGCATTTCCCCTAATGTTATCCCTCCCTAGCCCCCTGCCCTCTGACAGGCCCTAGTGTGTGATGCTCACCTCCCTGTGTCCATGTGTTCTTATTGTTCAACCCACTTATGAGTGAGAACATGGGGTGTTTGGTTTTCTGTTACTGTGTTAGGTTTTATTTTTATATTTTTATTAGAAATGGGGTCTTGCTATGTTGGCCAGGCTGGTCTAAAACTCCTGGCCTCAAGGGATCATCCCATTTTGGCCTCCGAAAGTGCTAGGATTAGAGGCATGAGGCACAACACCTGGCCTGTTTTTTTTTTTTTTTTTTCTATTTTTCAGAGTCTTGCTTTGTCACCCAGGCTGGAATGCAGTTGCACGATCATGGCTCACTGTAGCCTCAACCTCCTGGGCTCAAGTGATCCTTCTGCCTCAGCCTCCCAAGTTGCTGGAACTACAGGCGAGCACCACCACTTCTGCCTAATTTATTTTGTAGAGATGGGGTCTTGGGTTCTGTGTGGTTCTGACTGTGCCACCTTGAAGATGGGCCTGAAGCCAATGATCTTCCTCCATGTACTATTATGCCTCATCCCTGCTGACTTGTTTGGAGAGTTGAGGAGCTTTGCGTTTTTTCAGTCTTGCCAAAACACTGCAATGCTAACACTTCTTGTCTTACTACATATGAAACCTATCTTTCACTCATACTTTTCCTGTGCCTCGATTGCCACAGCCCTCACTATTGAATTTGCAGGATCCCAGCACCTGTGTGCCAAGCATACATTAGAGGATGGAACAGTGTTGAGGAAACCCAACAGCTCTTTTTTCCCCCCCCTGAGATAGAGTCTCACTCTGTCACCCAGACTAGAGTGTAGTGGCATGATCTCGGCTCACTGCAACCTCTACCTCCCAACTTCAAGTGATTCTTGTGCCTCAGCTGCCTGAGTAGCTGGGATTACAGGCGTGCACCACCACGCCCGGCTAATTTTTGTATTTTTAGCAGAATGGGGCTTCACCATGTTGGGCAGGCTAGTCTTGAACTCCTGGCCTCAAGTGATTCGCCAGCCTGGTCCTCCCAAAATGCTGGGAGTATAGGCGTGAGCCACCGCGCCCAGTCTTAACAGTGCATTTTCATTAATACCACTTCTACCTTTTAGTGGTGAGGTCTTAGGGATCAGTCCATGGCCTGATGGCCTGCAGAAGCTGTTGCTATTGCCGAATGACAGATGGGCACAATAATTTGAGTAAGAGTTAATGTTGCTCTAAAAAGGAAGGGGGTTGGTGTGTACATTGTACCACCAGAAAACTTCAAAATCAACTCTGGTTGGTTGGTTTGAGACAGGGTCTCGCTCTGTCACCACCCAGGCTGGAGTGCAGTGGTACTATCATAGCTCACTGCAGCCTTGGCCTCCCGGGCTCAAGAGCTCCACCTCAGCCTCCCAAGTAGCTGGGACCACAGATGTACCCCATTATGCCCAGTTAATTTTGTTCAATTTTTTTTTTTTTTTTGAAATGGAGTCTCACTCTGTCATCCAGGCTGGAGTGCAGTGGCACAATCTCTGCTCACTGCAACCTCCACCTCCTAGGTTCAAACGATTCTTCTGCCTCAGCCTCCCAAGTAGCTGGGACTACAGGCACGCACCACCACGCCCGGCTAATTTTTGTATTTTTAGTACAGACGCGGTTTTACCATATTGGCTAGGCTGGTCTCGAACTCCTGACCTAATGATCCACCCACCTCAGCCTCCCAAAGTGCTGGGATTCCAGGCATGAGCCACCACACCTGGCCCAATTTTGTTCAATTTTTGTAGAGATGGGGTCTCACCATGTTGCCCAGGCTGGTGTTGAACTCCTGGGCTCAAGGGTTCTTCTTGCCTTGGCCTCCTCAATTCTAGGGTTACAGGCAGGAGCCACCGCACATGGCCTGGTTTTTGTTTGTTTGTTTGTTTGTTTTGAGATGGAATCTCGCTCTGTCGCCTGATCTGGAGTGCAATGACGCAATCTTGGCTCACTGCAACTTCCACCTCCCGGATTCAAGCTATTCTCTAGCCTCAGCCTCCTGAGTAGCTAGGATTACAAGCATTTTTGTATTTTTAGTAGAGATGGGGTTTCACCGTGTTAGCCAGGCTGATCTCGAATTCCTGACCTCAGGTGATCCGCCTGCCTCAGCCTCCCAAAGTGTTGGGATTACAGGCGTGAGCTACCGCGCCTGGCGTTTTGTTTTGTTTTTTGCATTTTTTTGGTGATGTGAAAAAATGACGTATAACTCTTCTGTTAATTTATTTGACAATTTGTGAGGCTGAAACTTTTTAATGTGTTAATTGAAACTCTGGTTTTGAAGAGTCTCTTTAGTCCTCTAGGGAAGCATCCAGGGATGGAAATGGGGAGGTACTTGCTGGTTTCCTGCCTTTCTCATAGTTCTCATTTATTGAAGACAGTGTGCTGGAGCCCAGTCCTAAGCACTTTACTTAGACCATCATCCTACAACCTTGTGAGGTAGGTATTGTCCCTAATTTACAGTGAGGACACAGAAACTCACATATTGAAGGTCATAGAACGGCAGAATTGAGATTTGAATTCGGAAATGTGAATTCATCCTGAATTCAAAGACGGTTCTTTGGCAAGAACATTTGTGCAGGTTTTACTTCCAAACAAACATTCACTATTTTTAAACATTTATTTATTATTATTATTTTTTAAACAAGGTCTCTCTCTGTTACTCAGACTGGAGTGCAGTGGCATGATCACGGTTCATTGCGGCCTCGACATCCCGGGCTCAAGCCATCCTCCCACCTCAGTCTCCCAAGTAGCTAGGACTAGACAACAGGCACACGCCATGACGCCTAGTTGAGTTTTTGGGGCTTTTGTAGAGAAGAGTTCTCACTCTGTTGCCCAGACTGTGAACATTCACTATTGGAACAGAAGTAAAGCCCTCCCCTCCCCAGCATACAGATCTCCAACCCCACACCCTGATGTCTTCACCACTCTTCCCAGGACAGAGAGGAGACCAAGGGAGAGCAGGCATCATTTCTCTCTGTACAGTTTTTAATTTTTTATTTTTTGATGTTTGTTGTCCAGATGAATGACACACTCAAGTTACAAAAATGGGGCCTTAAAAGAAGCACATTGTACAATGAACAAGCAGATTGGAGTTAAGAACACTGAAACGCTAACCCGCTACCACGAGAAGAGACAGGGAGGGGGTACAGAAAGGGAAGGAAGGGGCTACCAACACAGGGGTCAGACGGAACTGAAAGGGAGGCTAACTTGGTGAGGATGGAGGAAAGACAGGTCTACTCTGGGGCTGATTTCTGGATGCCAGTTCTTGGGCACCCTTGCCTTGTACTTGCCACCCCCTCCAACTTCACCCACCTCCATTCCAACCTAGTCATTCTGGGCGGTGAGAGACACCCACACCAGAACGGGCTGCGCCAATCAGGTCTTTACGAGGTAGGGTGGTCACCTTGCCCTAGTGCAGCCCTGGATTTGGAAGGTGATGGTGGCAGCAGTGGGACAAGAGGCCAGAAAGGAGTTGATCAAAGTTCAGGCCCCTGCTCTTCCCAAAGACTCCTCACTCTTTCCCCACCCCACCATGATCCAAAGGCCCTCTATGAGTTGCCGAGAGAGGCCCCCAGTCACCCTGCAATTATATAAATAAATAAATACTGAGCCCCTGGGTTTGGGGGACAGGTTGGGGGAGGGGCAGCAAGGATAGAGGACAGGAAAGAGAGGAAGGGGAGGGAGGCAAAAGGGAGGGGTCACAGACATAGTAAATAGTCGTCTCCATCCCAGCAACACTTCTCTCTGGATTTTTCTCTCCTTTTCTTGTTTGTTTAACAAGGAGCTAACAATTCAAGGACAAATACTTAAAAATATACATTATTTTTTCTTTGTTTCCGCCTTTGTCATCGTCGTCTTGCTTTGGAGACTGCTGAGGTCAAAGTTTAAACCGCATGAAGGACCTGCGGCTTGGAGTTTTTGTGTATTTTTTTTTAATTTTTATTTTTAAATTTTTTTCACTTTTTTTTCCAACGTATAAAAAGGTAGCGGAGTTGTCTGTGGGTTTTTTTTTTTTTTTTAAATGGTTAAATCTTTGGTTTGTTTCTTTTTTCTCTTGGAGGCCTTTATCTCTCGCACTTGCCTTTCCCACTCAGAGACCAGTGGGGGCCCGCGTGTCTCAATCTTGCTGTCTGTCTCACTCTCTCACTCAGGTCCCCCTACCCTGGGCTAGAGGAAGAGAGAGGCACCCTGGTATTCGGGTGGGTTAGAAAAACTAGTCAGGTCAAGAGGTCACCCTGACTTGGCTAGTCCCTCGCCAAATCTCCCCAGGGCTTGGAGAGCCCATCATGGCCTTCTCCGGGGAGATGGGTAGAAAACTCATATCCTTCCCCTCCTCCTGATCTCAGCCCCAACTCCTACTGGGGCTTGGGTTCCCCATCCCTACCCACCCCAACACACACACACCCACCCCACCCCCCAGAAGAGAACAGAGAGAGGTGGTTTAGTTACTGGCATCAGTTTTTTTTTTTTTTTTTGGCACAATGAAAAGGCCCACCATTAGGGTAGACCCAGTCTCTGTCCCTCCCTTAAGTAGGAGGTCAAGGTTGGGGAGAAGAGAAATTCAGAGGGCTCCCCACTGCTCCAATCCACTCATCTCTCCTCTCTTTCTAGCCCAGGCCCTCAGCTCCCAACCTCGGACACCTAACCTAGCCCATAGCCTAGCCTGGGGTTTCCCTCCCCATCCCCCACATAAAGCTCCCCAGCCCTCCAACTCTCTCGCTCACACACAGACACACGGACACAGGCTCTGTACAGACCACAAAATAAAAACGATGAGATAGTTTTGTTTCCCGGAGTCGAGACGGGGGACCAGAGTGGAAGGGGCAGATGGGGGTGGGGGGCATGAATTCCCCCATCACCTTCCCAACCCTGGCTCCCTCCAGCCCCCCAGCCCCTTGCCCTGGCTGGCCCCCAGCCAACGATATTTGGTTTCCTTTTTTTAACATTAAAGTTCTATGAGGTATTTGGTGCCTTATCTCGAGTCCTCGGGGGAGGGGGGCCCAGGGGGGAGACCTGGGGCTCACCTGCCCCTCCTTCCCTCCTACCCCCTTCCCAATATTTGGTTTCACAGCTGTAGTTAAAGCTTGGGATTTGGTTATTTTTCCCCCTCCCAGGAATTTTCTTTTTTCTTGTTTTTCTTTTCCTAGGTGTGAGGGTTGGATGGGGAGGGTCCCCAGCACCCCTGGCTGCACAGGGTTCCCTCCACCAACGTCAGGGCATCTGCCCCATCCCTGCCCCCTGCTCCTCCTCGTCTGTTTGCCCCACTACCCCATACTGGGGTGGGGAGAGGTCCCAGGTGGTGGGACTTGATGGGGAGGAAGCAGGATGAAGTGGGTGGTGGTGAGTCCTGGATTTTCTTTCCTTTTTTTTTTTTTTTTTTTTTCCTTTTTGGTCTAGAATCATAGTTTTTGTTTGAGTCATCTCCACCATGCCTTCCATGCTGCCTGTCTTCTCGGAGGGGGTTTTTGGTTGTAATTCCTTTCATTTTGCTCTGCTCAAATGTCCTTCCTATTTGGTCAGGAGCCCTTGGCCCCCTCTCCACCCTTGGGCTGGGGCCCAGGCCCTCTTGCCAGTCCCTTCTCTCTTCAGGAAATAAACATGGACAAACTCAGAGGTAGGGTAAGGGCAGGGAGTCATTCAGCGGAGATGCTTACATTCCGGCGAGGATGGGTCAAGGTGCCAGGCCCCATCGTGCCAGGGGTGGGAGGGGTGGCTACTCCACCACTGCCCGGACAAGGCACCCGGAGGCCCCTGCAATGGCCGAGTCTCTGCTGCCTCCGTGGCCCAGCCCAACAGTTTCATTTCCCGGGTGGGAGAAGGGAGACAAGAAAAAAGAGAACGCTGAGGCCTGGGGCTCCATCTGCCTCTCCTCAAAGTGTCCGGCAGAACGTGGAAGCTGCCCAGGCCAAAGCCCTGTGGTCTCAGGGCTCTCCCCTCTCTCTGCTCCTGCCCAGCGAGGGGCGGGGGCCACACTGTGGCTGTCAGGCCCCACCCTGATTTCAATGGCTCGTGTCCTTCACTGCAACACTTTGGTTTGAGGAGAGACACAGAAAGAACAAGATTGAGAGAGGAGAGCAAAGGGAGACGGAGGAGAGAGGAAGGAGGGAGAAGAGAGGAAGGAGAGGAGAGAGGACAGACAAAAGAGAACCGAAAAAGAAATCAAAGGAGGAATCAAACCACCGGAAAGTTAAGTTTTCCTTCATCTGTTCTTTTTGCTTTCTTACTCCCTTTTTTCCTGTCTTTCTTTTTTTAAAGCTTTTTCAGTTGATTTGGGGGGGGAGTTTGGGGTTCTTCACCCCTGTCCCTGACACCCTCTCTCAGCCCCACCCACCTGCTTCTATCTGCCCTGGCCGAGGGACAGGCCCTGCCCCAGCCGCCCCCTCCGGCTTTCCCAAAGACGACGTCCATGAGGTATTTGTGAAGAGAAAGAAGCATCCGTCCTTCTGTCCGCCTCGGGGAACAAGGGCCACCGGTGCAGGGGCTTGGCTCCGCCTCGCGGTTCCGTCTTATTCTTGAAGAGTCCTCATCTTCTTTCCCTTTTATATATATATATACGTGTATATATATATAAATTCTTTTTTTCTAGTTTAAATTTATTGTTTGTTTCTGTTTTTTTGGTTTTTGGTTCAAAACTTTGTTGGCCTCCACAATAGCAGGAGGGCAGGGTGGCTCCCAGTGGCGTCTCTCCTCTGTCCGTCGTCAGTGGAGATGTGTCCAGGGCTGGTCAAACACAGGGTCCAGCCAAGACTTGTGGAGGTCTTGTGGGACTGGTGGCCACCACCGCACCCTCTCAGATGGGGACCACAGGCTGTGGCACTGTCCCACAACATGGACCCTGATGGGGATGCCATCTCGAGGAACCCCACCACTGGGGTGTGTGCGTGTGTGCATGTGGGGGGGAGGGAGAGGCATTCGCCAGTACCAGAGGGGCACGGGGTGGGAAAAGCAAGGTGAGTTCTCTTTTTGGTTTCTGGTTAATGTCAAAGAACGTGAAGGATCCCACGGATAGGCACTGGAATATGAATTTTTTTTTTTCAGGGAAACAGACAGGATGGAAAAAGACAACTGAATGCCCTCAACTGAATGCCTTCATCCCCTCTAGCCTGAAACTTCCACCTTCCCATAAGATGGGGAGGGGGTCGCTTCCAGAGCAGAGGAGGGTGACAGGGTTGAGGAGGGACTTGTGAGAGCTAGAACTTGGCAAAATGGCCTAGCCCACCTTTCAAAGGGGAAAAGAGGGAGGAACAGGGGATGAAAAGTTGTCCCCAGGCCTTCTCTTGAACTCTCCCCTGGCTGGGGGGAGGCAGGAGGTTAAAGCGAGCCCCCCTGCCCAGGTGGGGAGAGCTGGGGGCCAGGGGAGATGGGGACACATGGTAGGGACACATTCTGTTGAGCACAATGCTAAAAATTCTGTACATCCTTTGGATGAAGCTACTGAATATTTGGTGTAAGGTTGTTCAGGCCCTTTCTCTTTCACCTTCTGGAAAAGAACATTTGGTGGGTGGTGCTGAGCCCCAGCCCATCAGCCCATCTGCCCAGGCTGTGCCCTGTCTTCGCTGGTCCAGGGCTGGGGGCCGGGACTAGGAAGCTGGCATCTTCTTTTTCCATCTGTAGCCCCCATGCGGGGAGGCAGGGTTGGGGGTTGGTCCCACAGCCAGGGCTCGGTGGCATGAGGTCTGACCTGCTGGAGGCTTCTCCGCCCCTGGCTGGGGTTCTTATTTGGCGTTGTAGCAGTGAGGGTGAGCACGCTGAGGTCTGGCTCGCGACTGGTTTTTTGGTTTGTTTGATTTTGTGGGTTTTTTTTTTTTTTTGGTTAGTTTTTGGTTTTTTTTGTTTGTTTTTCACCTCTGGTTCCTTTGGGGCAGCTGGTTTCTGTTGTGATTATTTTTGGTTTTCTCTTTTGTTGGTTAGTTTATTTCCTTTTTTTTTTTTTTTTTTTTTGGTTGGTTGGTTTTTTTGGTCTTTCCTCCCTTGTCACTCTGCTCTGAGGACCCTCTGTGTCCCCACCACTGGCCTCCTCGCCCTCTTCCCAGGTGAGGGACCAAGGCAGGGATCAGAGGAATGGGAGGGGAGGCATGACTGGCCCTCACTCAGGTTTGGACCCTGCCTCGGGCCCCCCTGGGCCTCCAGGGGTCTGTGCGGCCACCTCGCTGCAAGTGGAGGAGGAGGAGGAGGAGGATGAAGAGGATGAGGAGAGGCCAGGAGACTTGCTGGAGATGGAGGCTGCCACGGCCGCAGCTGCTGCTGAGACCAGGCCCACGCCAGGCGGGGTGCTGAGCAGGGGCAGCCCAGCATGGTTCAAGAAGAGCGGCGAGGTCACCAGGCCGGGGCTCCCCGGGGTTGCGCCAGCTGCCCCCAGCACCAGGTTCCCGCTGCCATCAAGGCTGGTAAGGGGCAGGGTTCCACCAGAGGCCAGGGCTGGCGGGGAGAGAGAGAGGCTGGGCTGGGGGCACGCCGGGCCAGGGGAGACCTTTGCCTTCCAGCGTCCTGCCCAGAGTGCCCCCCATCTCCCCATCGGTCCCACTGACCCCCATCAACACCCCTCACATCTTCCCCAAAGGTGAGATGGGTATGAAGAGGCGAGCGATGCAGTGAGCAGGGGCAGGATGGCATGGCTGGAGCAACAATGGCAGGGCTCGAGGCCCCAGAGGATAGGGCTGGTGACGATGGGTGTGACATGAGGCAGCACGCACCTTGGATAGTGGCCAAAGGGTTGTTGCTCATGAGGGCTGGACTCAGCCCGGAGCTCAACCCCACCATTGTGCTTCTGCAAGAGGCAAAGCAGAGGCATTAGCAGGGGCAGGGACCTGCCAACATAACTGGGGTGCAGCTCCCCACCCTAGAAGCAGCAGCGACCCTGCTTCTCCCCACAGCCTCCCACCTGCACCCACTTACCCCGTGCTGGGGTTCAGGCCCGACAAGCCGATAGCCGAGTGGCTGCCTTGAGGGCTGGGGTTTGTGCTGTTGGTGGTGGCCGGGGGTGGGGGAGTAACAGAGGGGATGGAATTGAGGGGGGGCACAGCCCCGCCCCCGCCCCCACCCCCTCCAGCTGTCCGGCTGGGGTGGAGCGTCCCCACAGCTGAGGATAAGGTAGTAACTGCCAGAGAGAGACAGAGAGATGGGGTCTTCAGCTTCCACTCATCCCCCACTGAGGAACCTGGGGCCAACTCCTACTTGTCCTCCCACCCAGCTCACGAAGCATCTCCTCAGTCAGAACAGCCTTAGACCTCCCTGCCCTCTCTTCCCAGAGTGATTTCCCTGTGCCTCTGCCATAGTGACCCCTATCATAACAATGGAAGTCAGAGCAGCTGCTTCCTGCTGAGCCCTGGCACTCTGCACTCCCCGCCCTGAACCACTTTTTTACTGACTAGAAACGGGGGCCCCCAGGAGTCAGAACCCTATGGCTCCCTCTAGGGGAGGGGCGAGGGATGCCAGGCACATTGCCACAGCTGAGGGATGGGCAACCTGGCAGGGACTGAGGGCCCAGACTCAGCCAGACTGCTGGGGTAGAAACTCCTGGCTCTGTCTCATCCCAGGGGTGCCCTGGGGCGAGTGCCTTAACCTCTGACCTTCAGATCCCTTGTCTGGAAAATGGGGATAATAATAGAACCTATCTCATAAAATGAGTTTGAGAATTAAGTCAGTCAATGCAGTTTACAAAGAGCTTAGTACAGTGCCAGGCAAGCACTACTTTATAAATCTCCACTTACTATTTTCTAGCCTGGGGACGGGCAATATGTTGTTCTGTGTGTGTATGTGTGTATATATATATCTTTGTGTATATATATCTATTACGTATATATTATGTGCATATATATTATGTGTATATATATTATGTGTGTACATATGTGTGTGTGTGTGTGTATATATATATATATATTTTTTTTTTTTTTGAGATGGAATCTAACTCTGTTGCCCAAGCTCGAGTGCAGTGGTGTGATCTCAGTTCACTGCAAACTCCTCCTCCCGGGTTCAAGCGATTCTCCTGCCTCAGCCTCCCGGGCAGCTGGGATTACAGACACACACCACCACACCCAGCTAATTTTTGTATTTTTAGTAGAGACAGGGTTTCTCATGTTGGCCAGGCTAGTCTTGAACTCCTGACCTCAGGTGATCTGCCTGCCTTGGCCTCCCAAAGAGCTGGGATTATAGGCATGAACCACCACACCAGGCCAATTTTATATTATTCTTATATATATGGTGTATAACCATACATCTAAACCTGCCGTGTCCCAGGAATAGGGAGGGGAACTCTGGGTACAAGAGTATGTATTGTATGCATGTATGTGTGTATACATACATACACTCTTACATACATGTATTTATATCTTTTGTATGTATTACAGATTTATAATAATTTTATAAAAACTGAGGCTTAGAAGGATAAAATAAGCACTTGAATTCACACAGCCTAAAAATGACAGAGGCCAGGCACAAAACCCAAGTGCCTCACCTTTTACCAGGCCCATGCTTTTTTCATATGAAATCGTGAAGCAGATTAAAGCTGAGTTGCTCCTGTAGAGGAGGGGTGAGTCCTGCCCTCTTCCCACTGTCTCTCCCATTCCCCCACCCACACTCCCCGGGCTCAGTCTTGAGGCCCATGGACACCCAGAGCCACTTGGGAACCTCAGGCTCCAGCCTGTGCCACATCCTCCCACGCCCCCCTCATCATCTTCTGCCCTCCCTGACCTGTTGTGCTCAGACTGCTGGAAGCTTGGGACAACGGTAAGGTTCCCGCGCCCCCTTGGGGTGTGACCTGAGGAGAGAAGAAAGGAGGTATGGTTAGCCACTGTCTGCCAGCAGCCCCCGTGATGCTCCCTGCAGGACCCCACTCCTCTGTCCCAGGATGGGGGCAGGGGGCTTTGGCACAATGCTGCATTTGTATTATTCCACATGCTTTCTTCACACTTGCCCTAGCTGATCCTGAGCCACAAGCATGAAGGGCTAATTCTCCATTAAGAGCACCCCGAACCTCTCTTCTGACACCACCCTGTCTGGCTAGTCTCTGCAGGGTTGCATCCTGTCTGAAGTGACTACACCGGAAGAGTGGCTGCTCTACATGCTCCTACTATTGTTGGTTCTACAAAACTAAAATTCTTTTCCCTGGACAAGCAAACACCACCCTTTTACTAGTGGGGTTGGCAAGCAATGCAGCAGAGACTGATCAAAGTGACCCAGGCAGGGAAAGAGCAGATCTGAAGTGTGAGGCTAAATGGATGCATATCTTTGCATCAGGGTGTTGAGATGTCGTATTACTTGATTTTCTGGGACCATCACCAGCTTCCTTCTTGGCCACCCCACCTCCAGTCTCACCTTTGCATCAGCCCTAGAAACCTCACTAAATGTGTGGTTTCTCTCCTTCCCCAGCTTAAAACCCCTCCTTACCTCCTCACTGCCCATGGTTCAAGTTCCAGCTCTTCACTGTAAAACTTAGGGTACATGCCCCCACCCCTTCCCCAACCTCATTCATATAAACTGCAGCGCCAACCACACTAAATTGCACTGGAGTTTCTCAAATTGGGCTGGGCACACCCTGGTTTCTAGGCCTTAGTGCACACTGGTCCAGGAAGGCCCTTTGCCTTCTCGTGGCTGGCTAACTCTCCCTTGTCCTTTAGAACTCAGTTCAGACAGTGCCTCCTTCACCCCACTGGGGGTGGGGGCTCCTCTCTGGAACATCACAGCTCTTTCGAGGAATGGAAATAAAGGGATGGGATAAAGGATGTCCCAGCTGTGTCTGAGATCAAGTGGGCCTGTGTGTAGCTATGGACCTGAGAGTACTCCCATGGGTGTGACAATGTCCCTGAATGGCCAATAAATGCCTCTCCCTGCCTCCCTGTGGCTGTGAGCCTGTGTGTTCTAACCTGGACCACGTCCTTGGACATATATCCCTCCCTGTGTGGCTATGCCACTGTAATAACTCTGTGTCTGGCTATGTCGGTGTGTATCTAGGGGTGCTTGTATCCCCCAGGTAAAACCACAGTTCCCTGGAAACTGCCCCTGTGTGACTGTGCCCATCTACGTGATGGCCTGTCCCCAAGAGTGACTCTCCTTGCCTCTGTTCTAGGCTCTGTGGACAACCAGGTAGGGTGGGCTTCACACAGGTGCCTGCGGAGTTCTGTGGTCTCCCACCCCCCAGGCGGGCTCTTGGTACCATATGGGGGCTGTAGCTGGCCGGCTTCCCCGGGCTGGGCAGCATGGGGGCCGCACTGCAGGGGTTGATGCGTTTCTCCTTCTGGCGCCGGTTGCAGAACCAGACGCGGATCACTTCTTTCTCCATGTGCAGCTGCTCGGCGATCAGCAGGATCTCCTCTGAGGTAGGCTTCTGGTTCTGCAGGCAGAGGGCTTGTTAGCCTGGGGCCCACCACCCGCCACCCCTCAGGTGAGGGCCACCCAGGAGAGGGCCTCACCGCTAGAAAACTCTTCTCTAAGGCGAAGCGGACGTTTGTCTCGATGCTGGTCCTCTTCTTGCGTCTCCGGCCGGGCAGCCCGTCGAAACCCAGGCTGGGGCTGCTCAGCTGGTTGGGGCTGGGCAGGCTTGAGTCCACAGACATAGTCTCTGTGCCCCGAGGGAGACGTGAGCATTAGAAGGCGCCTCCCGCGGCCACCGGCCACCGCCCGCCCCCTACGCGGGAGCCCCAGCCTAGTCCCACCTGCGTCGTTGAGCCACTTCTCCAGGAGGGGCTTGAGTTTGCACATGTTCTTGAAGCTCAGGTTGAGGGCCTCGAAGCGGGAAATGGTCGTCTGGCTGAAGTCGTTGCCGTAGAGCTTGCCCATGGCCAGGCCCACATCACCCTGGGCCAGTGCGGCGTGGAAGGGGCGGAGATCAGGGCGGGGCCTTCCGGCACTGGGCCCGCTCCGCCCACCGGCTGGCCACGCCCCTCGCGGCATTCATCAACTGACCACGCCCCCACGCCCACCGCCCAGCCTGCAAGGTGGCTCCAGACCTGCGTGAAGCCCAGCTTGATGCGGCGTTGCTTGAAGGTGCGGGCGAACTGCTCCAGCTCCTCCAGATCACTGGGCTCCTCGGGGTGGGATGGTGGCTCCAAGCATTTGGGGGGCTGCGGGTGCGAGAGGTGCGGGTCGGGCAGCGTAGGGCGGGTCACGGCCTGGTGGGGTGGGCAGGTGGGTGGGATGTAGGGCGGAGGACCAGGAGTGGGCTCAGCGATGGATGCACAGTCCCCCTCCCGCCCTCTTCGCCCCTGCGTTCCATCCGCCGCTTGCAGACTCCCCCCGCCTTCCTCCACACGTACTGTCAATCCCTTTAAAGGTTGGACTCTGCTGCCCTACATGGGTTTCCTCATTGCCTGGGACTCTCTGCACTGTCCCTTCACGCCTGCGAACTCCCAGTAGGAGCAGCCAGGGTTCTTTCCCTGGAGCTGGAGGCAGTGGTTCATCCTCATCTCAACCGGGGAATCAAGGACTGGCCCTGCCACCAAGTCACTGCTTAGCCCAGGCCTCACTTTCCCCCTCTGCGGGATGGAAACAATCACTGCTGTTCTGTCTACCCAACGGGGCTGTTGAGAGAACCGGGTTAAAGATGAGTAGGTCGTGCAGACCCATGGACTGTACAACGCCAAGAGTGAACCCTAATGTCAACTATGAACTTTGGGTAATAGTGATGTGTTAATGTAGGTTCATCAGCTGTTACACTTGTACCACTCTGGTTGGGGATATAGATATGTGGGAAGCTGTGCATGTGCAAGGGCAGAGATAGATGGGATATCTCTATATCTACCACTCAGTTTTGCTGTGAATCTAAGACAGCTCTTGAGAAATTAAGTCCTAAGCAATGAGTAGATTGCAAATAAAATAAAAAAAAAATAAAATAAAATAAAGGACTGGGAGGCAATTAGGGAGATTTACAAAAAAGCAACAGCTCTATCTGGGATGATTCATTGCCCTAAAAATAAAGGATCTGAAGCAAGTGGTGGGTGCAGGGATGTCCGTCACTCAGGTCCTTGATCCATTATTCTCCAAAATGCTGGGGCCAGATGTTTAGGAATTTTTCAGATTTTTGTTGTTGTTGTTTTAATTTTATTTTTATTTTTATTTTTTTTCTGAGACGGAGTTTCACCCTTGTTGCCTAGGCTGGAGTGCAATGGTGCGATCTTGGCTCACTACAACCTCTGCCTCCCGGGTTCAAGTGATTCTCCTGCCTCAGCCTCCTGAGTAGCTGGGATTATAGGCATACGCCACCACACCCGGCTAATTTTGTATTTTTAGTAGAGATGGGGTTTTTTCATGTTGGTCAGGCTGGTCTTGAACTCCCGACCTCAGGTGATCCACCCACCTTGGCCTCCCAAAGTGCTGGGATTACAGGGGTGACCACCGTGCCCGGTCCTTTTTTTTTTTTCTTTTTCTTTTTTTTTTCTTTTTGTATAAATTTAAGGACAACAGGTGTAGTGGCTCACACCTGTAATCCCAATACTTTTGGAAGCCAAAGTGGGAGGATCGCTTGGGCACAGGAATTTGAGACCAGCCTGGGAAACATGGCGAAACCCTGTCTCTACAAATTTTTTGTTTTTTTTTTTAGACGAAGTCTCGCGCTGTCGCCCAGGCTGGAGTGCAGTCGCGTGATCTCGGCTCACTGCAACCTCCGCCTCTGGGGTTGACGCCATTCTCCTGCCTCAGCTTCCCGAGTAGCTGGGACTACAGGCGCCCACCACCATGCCCGGCCAATTTTTTGTATTTTTAGTAGAGACAGGGTTTCACTGTGTTAGCCAGGATGGTCTCGATCTCCTGACCTTGTGATCTGCCCGCCTCGGCCTCCCAAAGTGCTGGGATTACAGGCGTGAGCCAAAGCATCCAGCCATATCTCTACAAAACTTTAAAAAATTAATCGAGCATGTGGGGCGTGACTGTAGTACCAGCTACTCAGGAGGGCTGGGGACTGCTTCACTTGAGCCCAGGAGGCTGAGGCTGCAGTAAGCTGTGATCGCACCACTGCACTCCAAGCCTGGGTGACAGAGTAAGACCCTGTTTCAAACAAAAAACAAAATGTTAAGGGGTACAAGTGCAATTTTGTTACACAAATGTATTGTGTAGTGATGAAGCCTAGGCTTTTAGTGTATCCATCACCCGAACAGTGTACATTGTACCCATTAAGTAACTTCTCATCATCCACCCACTCTCACCCCTCTCAGGTTTTGCTGTTGTATTAGAGACCAGTCTCACTATGTTGCCCAGGCTGGCCTCAAACTCTTGGGCTCAAGTGATCCTCCTTCCTCAGGCTCACAAGTAGCTGAGACTATAGGCATGCACCACCATGCCTGTTTCAGTTTTCAGAAAACCTGCATAGGCAACCAGGCACGGTGGCTCATGCCTGTAATCCCAGCACTTTAGGAGGCCGAGGCAGGTGGATCACCTGAAGTCAGGAGTTCGAGACCAGCCTGGCCAACATGGTGAAACCCCCATCTCTACTAAAAATACAGAAATTAGCTGGGTGTGGTGGCGCATGTCTGTAATCCCAGCTACTTAGGAGGCTGAGGCAGGAGAATCGCTTGCTTGAACCCGGGAGCAGAGGGTGCAGTGAGCTGAGATTGAGCCACTGCATTCTAGCCTGGGCAACAGAGCGAGACTCCATCTCAAAAAAAAAAAAAAAGAAAGAAAGAAAGCCAACATAGGGGCCGGGCGCGGTGGCTCAAGCCCGTAATCCCAGCACTTTGGGAGGCCGAGACGGGCGGATCACGAGGTCAGGAGATCGAGACCATCCTGGCTAACACAATGAAACCCCGTCTCCACTAAAAATACAAAAAAATTAGCCGGGAGTGGTGGCGGCGCCTGTAGTCCCAGCTACTCGGGAGGCTGAGGCAGGAGAATGGCGGGAACCCGGGAGGCGGAGCTTGCAGTGAGCCGAGATCGCGCCACTGCACTCCAGCCTGGGTGACAGAGCGAGACTCTGCCTCAAAAAAAAAAAAAAAAAAAAAAGAAAGCCAACATAGGATGTATATCATAGATAATGTGGCACAGCCCCCACCCCCACTGGGGTCAAGGATATTACTACATAATCAGATACAGTAACAGTTTTGCAGCAGCAAAAATGCCATACCAAGAGGGGCAAAGAAAAGTCACACACTGCCTCATATCATGGCAGGGCAGGTTTTGCAGTCAAATGAGTTCTCATACCAATGGTGCAAGAACAACTTGACTTTCAGAGTGTTTGGGATTTCAGAACTGCAGCTAAGTCTCTAATCTTTTTTTTTTTTTTTGAGACGGAGTCTCGCTCTGTCGCCCAGGCTGGAGTGCAGTGGCGCAATCTCGGCTCACTGCAAGCTCCGCCTCCCGGGTTCACGCCATTCTCCTGCCTCAGCCTCCCGAGTAGCTGGGACTACAGGCGCCCGCCCCTGCGCCCGGCTAATTTTTTCTATTTTTTTTTTTTAGTAGAGACGGGGTTTCACCATGGTCTCGATCTCCTGACCTTGTGATCCGCCCACCTCAGCCTCCCAAAGTGCTGGGATTACAGGCGTGAGCCACCACGCCCGGCCTAGTCTCTAATCTTTTCAGTCCTTCTGAAATAGTTAACGTATATTTTTTTAAAGGGCTATAAAAAATGGGTGGAAAAAAACGTTGAAATTCATAAAAGGTGGTGAAAATGATCATTAAAGTCTATAACTCAGGCAGCAAACTGAACGAAAGGCCTTGGGGTCCAGGTGCCAAGGTGGTCTGGAGAGCTGGCACGCTAAGGGGCCTCTGCTCCTGCTAGTGGTCAGGCCAACTGCTCACTGCGCCAAGCCACCACATAGACACAGGTACGGCCCTGCCAGATTTTCTGGTTTATCAAGAGGAACTGAAAATCTAGTGCTTTCTGGGAATTTAGTTGACAATGGCCAAATAAAAGACACCTGTGGGCCTTGTTTTCAGTCTCCAGTCTGGGAAGTGGATGTGAAATAATCACCTAATGAAGGCCTTCTTCAGAGAATACTCCATCGCAGTGCTGGAAGAGGCCCCAGGCATTTGTAGCCTAAAGGCTCGCAACGCCCTACAATTTTGTGTGTTTTTGCACATGAGCATTTTGGGGGAATGGGGATCAGATCTAAATCTTTCATCACATTCTCAAAGGAGCCCATGTACCTGAAAGGGTTAAGAACCACTCGTCTGGGCCAGCTCCCCTCATTCTATAGAGGAAGAGGCTGACTTAGACAGGGAGATGGGCTTGCCTGAGGTCTCACAGCAAATCACTGGCAGAGTGTGGCTGGGTTAAATGGAGAGGAGACTCTCACTCGCTCCACACCCCCGTTTACCCTGCTTTCAGCAGGCCTTGCTGCTGGCCCGGCCTGGTGCACTCAATGGACAGTCTCACCTGTGTGGGAAGCCCGGCCCGGGGCTGGGAGGTCAGAAGAGCTCCCTGGGTTTGCTGAGGTAGCTGGAATAGATTTGGTGTCGGTAGCAGGCCTGGAGGGACAAGGGGAAATACACAGGGTGAGGGGGAGAGGAAGGTGAGGAAGTTCTGTGGAGGTGTCAGGGAGGCCATCTGGGGTGGGGGGCCTTACCTGGCTGGCTCTGCTGGGCCTGCGGTAGCAGGAACTGAGCAGGTGGCTGGAGGTGGTGGCCTGGCACAAGCACCAGCTGCTGGAGCTGGAGGAGCTGCTGTATGTCCTGGCAGGGAGCGGGGTGGACAGAAAGACAGACTGAGTCCTGGCTGGGTTTCATCCTCTCTGCATCAACTGAACCCTGAGGGGCTGAAACCAGGAAGCTGCTCCACATGGCAATCTGGCACTGGGCAGTGAGGGATGGTCCACTCGATCTTTGAATGGCATCCCTGAGCTAAGGGCACCCAGAGGCTTCTCTCTACCATGGGGTACCAGAGAGTCCCAACTGGGCAGTTGTGGGAGAGCTCACTCTTTATTTACCCCTTCTTTCTTTCTTTCTTTTTTTTTTTTTTTTTTGAGATGGAGTCTCGCTCAGGCTGGAGTGCGGTGGCCGGATCTCAGCTTACTGCAAGCTCCGCCTCCCGGGTTCATGCCATTCTCCTGCCTCAGCCTCCTGAGTAGCTGGGATACAGGTGCCCGCCACCACTCCTGGCTAATTTTTTGTATTTTTAGTAGAGACTTTTAGGGGTTTCAACTGTTAGCCAGGATGGTCTCGATCTCCTGACCTCGTGATCCGCCCGTCTCGGTCTCCCAAAGTGCTGGGATTACTTTGGGAGTCACCGTGCCCAGCCACCCTTTCTTGATGAAATATTTGCCTTGTTTAAACATTTCCACAGAAAAAATAGAATTATTTAAAAATGTAAGCCAGGCCGGGTGCAGTGACTCATGCCTGTAATCCCAGCAATTTGGGAGGCCAAGGTGGGTGGATCACCTGAGGCCAGGAGTTTAAGACCAGCCTGGCCAACATGGCAAAATCCCATCTCTACTAAAAATACAAAATTAGCCAGGTGTGGTGGTACATGCCTGTAGTCCCAGCTATTCTGGAGGCTGATGCAGAAGAATTGCTTGAACCTGGGAGGCATAGGTTACAGTGAGCCGAGATCACGCCTATTCACTCCAACCTGGCTGACAAAAATAAATAAATAAATAAACTGTAAACCAGACCAGGTCTTTCCTCCTTCAAAAACATCCCCAGCTGGGCACAGTGGCTCACGCCTGAAATCCCAGCAATTTGGGAGGTGAAGGCAGGCGGATCATGAGGTCAGGAGATCAAGACCATCCTGGCTAACACAGTGAAACCCTGTCTCTACTAAAAATACAAACAATTAGCCAGGCATGGTGGCACACACTTGTAGTCCCAGCTACTCGGGAGGCTGAGGCAGGAGAATCGCTTGAACCTGGAGGCGAAGATTGCAATGAGCCGAGATCATGCCACTGTACCTCTCTGCACTCCAGCCTGGGCGACAGAGCAAGACTCTGTCTACAAAAAAAACAAAAAGCAAAACAAAACAAAAAAACACTCCCAAGGCAAATAATATCATGTCTGGAATTAGCTTTAATGCTCCAGCAAACAGTGTAAATTAGTACAACCACTTTCGCAAGCTCTTTAGCACTGTTATAGGTTGCAGTGTCTCCCCCCACTCCCTGCCACCCCCCAAAAAGATATGTTGGAATCCTAACCCCCAGAACCTCAGAGATTAACCTTATTTGGAGATAGGGTCTTTGGCAGATGATCAAGTTAAAATGAGGTCATTAGGGTGGGCTCTAATCCTATATGACTTGTGTCCTTATAAAAAGGGCAAATTTGGACATAGACATGGATAAAGGGAAGATGATGTGAAGAGACACAGGGAAAAGACAGCCACCTACAAGCCAAAGAGAGAGGCCTGGAACAGATCCCTCCCTCACAGCCCTCAGAAGGGACAGATCCTTCCCTCATAACCCTGCTGACACCCTGATTTCTGACTTCCAGCCTCCAGAACTGTGAGACAATACATTTCTCTCAAGTCACCCAGTTTGTGGTTCTTTGTTTTGGCAGCCCTAGCAAACTAATATAGACACTATCTAAGAAAGCTAAACATACACCACCCTTATGACCCAGCAACTCCACTCCTGCATGTAACCCACCATACATGTGTATGTGTTTACCACAAGACATGTACTACAATGTTCACGTGGACCATTTGAAATAGGCAGGACTTGAAGATAGCCCAAGTGCCCACAACAGTAGAATGGGTAAAGAAACTGTTTCAGTGGAAGCTACGGCAACAAGAATGAGCAGTCCTACAAGTCACAGTTACGTGCCACAACATAGACTTCCCAAACATCATCAGTGAGAGAGCTAGTTATGACAGAGAACATCCTGTATGATTCTAATGGTTGAAGTCTGGGGAGTAAAGACTGAAAAGGGACACCAGGGGGTTTCTGGGGGCTGGCCACATTGTTTCTAGATCTGGGTACCAGTTCCATGGGAGTGCTCATAGCTGTATACCTATGATTTGTGCACCTTTATATATGTATTATATTTTAATAAAAGTATTTTTAAAGACAGGGCCAGGCACAGTGGTGTGTGCCTGTAATCCCAGCACCTTGGGTGGTTGAGGCAGGAGGAATGCTTGAGTCCATGAGTTCAAGACCAGCCTGGGCAACATAGTGAGACCCCCTATGTCAAAAAAAAATCTTGTTTGTATAGTGGTAAGTAAAAAATAAAGTAAAATAAAGAGAAAAAAGGGGGGATGAGGTAGGGAGAGAGGGAGAGGAAAAAAAATTCAATCCTCCACCCACCAAAAAAAGTAAGGAGTTTAGATGAAACCCTATTTGCCAATAGGACTGGCAAAATGTTGATATCTATTGAGCTTGGTGAAGAGTATATGGGGTTCATGACATAATTCTCTCTACGTTTACGTTTAAACATTTCTGAAAGAAAAAGCAAAACCGCCTTACACACACAGTCCAGTGGCTTCTCATAGCCCTCAACAACGCAAACAAAACCCCTCACCTGCCTACAAGTCCCTTTATACTGAGGCCTGTGCTTGTCTCCCTGCTCATCTCCCACCGCCCTCTCCCTCCCTGGCTGTGCTCCAGCCATTCAGCCCTTTTCTGTTTTTTTCAAATGCATCAAGCTTGTTCCTGTTCCTGCTCTGGCCCTTTACACATGCTGTTCCCTCTACTGGGCAGTTCTAATTCTGACACTTATGCCTGGGTCCTAACACAAGGTCACCCTCTCAGAGGTGCCCTCTTTGACCACCCAGTCTATACCAGCCCCTGACCCGGCCTCCCCTTATCACCCCATTTCATCTCCCTCACAAGGCTTATCACCATCTCCAGGCATCGCTATTCCGTTTACTCATTCATGACATTCCCCTCTCACTGGGACGTCAGCTCCATGAGAGTGTGATCTTGACTGTTTCAGTCACCACTGTATCCTCAGCACCTAGAACAGCACCTGGCACCCAGTAGGTGTTCCACATAGATACGTTAATGAACCGAGACTGATGCTTCATCATTTACTTGGCAAATTTTATGTAGAGTTGAAAGCTATAACGTGTCACTTACAGTTTTTTTCCTTCTGGGAAATTGTGGGGGTTGGGACATGCCCCTCAATTCTTCCCAATGCTATTATTATTCCAAAGACCAATTTGATGTGCCAGGAAGTGAACAAATTGGGAAAATATATAAGCAATTCAACAGAAGGGGCTCATTTCTTTAATATACAAAGAGTGATTTTGCAAATAACTCTATATAATTAAAAAAGAAGAAGAAAAAAATAGTGATTACGAATCCGTAAGTAAAAAACCGACAACCCAGTAGTAATGTGGCTGACAGACAGGCCTGGAGAGTGTCCAGTGAAATAAATGTGAACAGCTCTGGATGGAAATACACTCAGATTCACTCACAATAAGATAAACACAACTGCAATTGCACTGAGATATCATTTTTACCTCTCAGATCACCAAATATAAAAATAGTGTGTAATACTACACTGGGGAGTGTGGGGAAACACACATTCTTGTACATGCTGGTGAGAGGGTGATTTGGCAATGTCTATCAAAATTACAATTGCACACAGCCTTCAACTCAGCCATTCCACTGCTAGAAATTTATCTATTCTCACTCTAGAAGGCTGCACCTCTCTAGAAGGCTGTTCCCAGCAGCAAGTGGCATTTTGGTAAAACAGTAGAAGGTAGCTGGGCATGCAGCAAGAGAGGACGGGTTGGATGAATGAGGGTAGAGCTCTACAGTGGAACACTATACAGTCATCAACAAGAATGAGGAGTCTCGTTTGTGTCCTGATATGGAACAATCTGCAGGATGTCTTGTTGAGTGGAAAGCTCAAGAGGCAGAACAGAGGATATGATGTGGTACTGTTTGTGTCAAAAAAAAAAAAAAAGGAGTATATCTGGATATTTGCTTGGGTATGCATAGTTGATGTCTGGAAAACCATACTAGAAGGCCACACTGTAAGTCCATCCACACCTCTGGGATTTGAAACACGTACCTGGTCTGAGTAAATAAATATCCCAGTGTCTCACCCCCACACACCCAAACAGTCACTGCTGATCAATATCCCTGCTTTTCGACGGCTCAACGCTATTCCCTGACCCCCTGGGGGTGCCTCTGCTTATTCCGTGTATGGCAGTGGACTGGGTACTCCTGTGCTCCTGACCTCTCTCACTCTTGCTGCTAATCATCTCAGAATCCAGTTTAAGGGTTCTGAAGTCCTAGCACTCTATCCTGTGAAACAATGTCCACCCTGCCTTCCCTTACCCAGCTACCCCAGCCCAGGAATACCTCCACCTCCGCTTCACCTCAACTGTGAAGTGCACAACACTTACGCTTCATGGCCCCCCATTTACAGTGAACCCTTTCAAGACCCCATACCTAATTTTTGTTTCAAACATTGTCTTTTTCTTTCAAAGGGACTCCAAGTTGCAAAATCTTTTGGCCCCACAAAACGAGACCCACCTGCCCTGTGCTGCACGTCTCCCAAGTCAATGCATTTGCCTATGTGTACCTTTCCTCTGCTAGACTGAAATTCTAGCAGACCAGAGGCATATCTTATTCTTCTTGTATCCCTAACTCATATCGGAACCTGGTAAGCCCCCATTAAATGCCCACTGAATTGAATCTAATGAATAAGACCAGAAATCAAGTCTTATTACCAGTGTTTTTCTGATTTCCTATAACCCTTAGCTTGCTGATTAAAGTATTTGTTAACTCCTGTTC